AAAAAAAAAAAAAAAAAAAAGCCGCGATCGTGATCTGCGGCGGCAATTCGGCGGGAGGTCCTTCGCTCCGAGGCAGAGTGAGGGACCGTCCGCTGAATTGCCGCCGAATACCTGGACGTGCCGCCCCTCTCCGGAGCGGCCGCCCCAAGCACCTGCTTGACAAGCTGGTGCCTGGAGCCGGCCCTGCTGGGCTTCCCTGTCTGCATCCCCCCTGCTAAGTGCCAGAGTATGGGAAGCAATTTCCCTCATGAGTATGTTACTGCACAATCATCCATTCCCTCCTTTCTCTGCTCCCTTCCTTGCAAGAACCTGGACGGGGACTCGGATGAGTGACCCACTGCTCAGATTCCTGTGGGTGGCTATGGTCCTACTCCAGACCAAATTTGCTTGGTTTACAAGTAAGGTGGTGTTTTTCCTCTCTGCCAGTGCCACAAACTCACCCTGGGATCTGGAAGCAGAGCTGGCTTCTTCTTTGGCTCATGCATCGTTGCCAGAACTAATGGCTCTGCAATGGGAACTTCATTAACAATTCTGTATATGAAACTAGGCCAGACCAGAATCCAGCTCCCTCTCCCAGGGCACTGCTGGCTCTGCAGGTGTGAATGTTTGTCATTAGCAGCAAGTAGTTAGGAGTCTGGATACACAAAGGGGTCATTATGTAAAGGAGGCTTTTCTCTAATGATAGCTTAACTCTGTTGACAAAATCTGCTCAATTTTAAAAAAATAGCTCAAACCCATGGCCGTGGTTGTAAAGTCCCACATTCCTATCTTAGACAATTTTTCTTTCCCTGTCATGTGGAAAAACAAACAGTGGATCCCAAGTGCACCATGAGACAGAAAACCCTGGAAAGAGATTTCTCCTCCTCCTGCCAAACCTTCTCCATCTCCCCGCTCCAAACACGGTTTGGGCTCTAGTGACTCTAGGCTGGTACTTGTTTTACCTAGCCTTCTACTCTTTTAGCCAGGAGCCTGGCTTTTCAGTTGCCTTTGTCCTGCCCTTAACCTAACAGGTCCAGGCATATTGTCCTGAGAATCTCAACGTTCTTTACAAGCTGATTATGCCTCAACACCCCAAATGAAGAAACTAAGGCACAGATGAGCTGAAGGACTTGCCCAAGGCAGTGCTGGGAGCAGTGCCGGGTTTACAATGGCTCCATGGAGCTGGGCCCATGCTCAGAAGGGGCCCCGGTCAGCTCCACTTGCACTGCGCCCTGAGACCCCGCTGGCTCCCCCCACCCACCACTTGCTCCTCTCAGCCTGCCCGTCTGCTGCCCCCCCCCCCCCCCCCCCCCCCCGCTCCTCTCTGACCCCTGGCCGAACCCCAGTGCACCTCTGGCTCTGGGCAGTCTCTGCTTCCTACCACCTGTGGGGCCTCACCTTCTCCCCGAAGCTGAACCGCCTAGGACTGGTGCAGAAGCCTGGCCAGTCTCAGCCAGGTGTGTGTGTGTGGGAGACAGTGCGGAGGGCTTGGCTGGGCCCCTCCAGGCAAGTGCGTCTTGAGGGACCCTGGCCGGGGCAGGTCCTGGCCTGGCTGATCGCACCACTCCCAAGGGACTGGAGTGATTCCCGGCCCTGGGACCAGCCCGGCAGACACAGTCGCCTCCCAGCAGGGCCGGTGTGGCCGGGAGGCAGAGCTTGGGGGAGTGGGTCTGTGGGGAGTATAGGGGAGTGCTGGGCTGCGAAGGGGCAGGGAGGATCTGTGTGTGTTGGGGCACTAGGGAGCGGTGGTTCTGTGGGGGAGTGCTGGGCAGTTGTGATGGGGCTGTGGGCAGGGGTGGTGGTGTGCAGGGTGCTGTGCATTTGTGCGTGGGTCCGGGGGGCTTCTGGCCATAAGGAGTTGGGGGATGTTGGGCGGGGGGGGAGGGAGGGGCTGTGTGGTGTGGCATGGGCCTGCTCCCAAGGGGAAGGGGCATGCTGGTAGCACAGGGCCAGGCAGGCCACTGTGCATCTGGCAACTGCTGGTTTGTAAATAGTGCCCTTGCATTGGGCGGAGCGAGGCCGCCCCTGCCATGCCATGCCCCATTGCCTCTGGCTGGCCCCTTGCTCTGGGGACTGACTTCCCCGTGCCATGCTTCATTGCCTCCATGGGGGCCCAAAAAGGTTAATCCGGCCCTGGCTGGGAATAGAATCCAGGAGTCCTAACTCCCAGCCTATCCCTCTCGCCCTTTTAATTTATAATAGGCAGAAGCCAGCGGTCTCTACTACTAATGGTGGAACAGCATGAGCCCTCAGCAGGCCTGGTTGTACTTCTACAGGGGCCTCCCCTGTTCCCTTCCCCAAGCCTCCTCCCAGGGTCAGTTCAGTCACAGCATTTGGGAGCCCCCTCCCACCATATGGAAAAGGGGGAGCTGAACTGGGTCCTGACCTGGTGCTGAATTCCAATGCAGACGGAGCTCTGGGCAAATCAGAAGCCTATGGCCACTAGTAACTTCCCCATCCCGCCTCCCATTCTGAATCCAGCCTCTGGTTCCAGGGATTACACCAGTAAAATGGGGACAATTTCCCCCCTTCTTGCCTGCTGCTCCCCATACACCCTCCCCCAACTCTGCCCTAAAGACAAAGTGAAAACAGTAAGCTCCACCCTCTGCCTCCGCTTTCAGACAGTGAGCTCTGGGGGCAGACGGCCTTGTTCTTGGGAGCTCAGGTAGGGCTGTCTGTGTTTAATAAATAACCTTCTCCTGGGGCTGGTTGGGAGGCTGGGACAAACAGGAAGATCCATGCAGGGAAAGCAAAGCTTTTCAGGGGCCAGGAGTGTCCTTGGTCTCCGGGGCAGCCTGGGAGCCTGCTGGCTCGGAGACGCCAATCATAGCCAGGAAAGAATCCTGCCAGAGCCTTGCCAGGGACACACTTTATTTCTCAGTGAGCAAGCTGAGCAGCAGGAAGCAGTACAGGGGTTAGCACTGCTGACCCAGCACAAGGTGAGCGCGGGCTCTAGCACCGAGCACAGGGCGGGCTGGGAGAGCAGGTGCATGAGGCATCAGTCCGATTCACGAAGATGAAGTTGGCAGCCTTGGCTCCTGCACTTTTGAGTGAGGTTATGTGGTCAGATCCTGCTTTCATTGGTGGCTCAACAGTGACAGGGTTTGGGAGGAAGCCTGCACCATACAGATGGCAAAGAGCTCCAGACAATACCCAGTTACCTTTCACTGAGCCAGAGCTCTTTGTTCAGGCCAGAGTCTAACTACTCACAGAGCAGCCCAGCTGGACCTGCTAGTCCCCCACTATTTCAGCCTGTCCCTGGGCCCCCTGTATTGAATTTCCCTTCCTGGGCTCTCTGCTGTCCTGCACTACACTGATAGTGGCTGGGACCCTTTGCCCACCTCTCTTTGCCTGCCTAGGCAGCCCTAGTGAACGGCAGCATTGTCCCTCAGTGCTGACCTCCCTCCAGTGTGTTAGCAAGGAAGCATCTTGTATTTCTCAACATTCATCTCAAAGTGTCCTGCTGTTCTCTGCCCCAGGTCCAACCCCTTCCCCCAAGCTCTGCTCTGCTGCTTTAGTGCTGGAGCAACCTCCTGCTCTCCCTCCCCATTCTTTATCTGCCTCTGAGCTCCTTTCTCTGGCTCCTGCCCCATGACTCTCCCTGGCATTCTCTTCTCCAAGTCCTCTCTCTAGTGGTCCCTTCTGGCCATGAACGCTATGACTTTCTGCCGCACAATCACCTTGGCTTGCTCTTTCCCTCTCTGCTCTGGAAAATCCTTCTCCAAGGCCTGTCTCCGAGTTTCCTTGTCCTCCCCCTGCTCCATCAACCCCAGAATTCCCTTGGTGTGTTCCTTCCCCTGACTCTTCCCTCTCTGCTTCTATGTTCTCTTCTGCCCATCCTGTCTCCTCCATCCTGCCATCGACCCCACAATTCCCTTGGTCTGTTCCTTCCCCTGGCTCTTCCCTCTCTGCTCTGGCACTCTCTTCCCCAGGTCCTGTCTCTGCCCCAGACTCCCCCAGGCCTTGTTCCCTCTTTGCGTGTGTGTTCTCTTCTCCAAGTCCTGCCTCTCTCGTACCCCCCTCTGCTCTAGCAATTCCTTGGTCTTGTTCTTCCTCCTTGCCTGTGGAGCTCTCTGTTCCCAGTCCTGTCTCCTCCCTACCTTCCCCAGAATTTCCTCCCTCCTGCTTGCCAGCTCCAGCATTCCCATCTCCTCCCAACTGCCCCTTCCCTTCTGTTGCCCCTTTGAGCTGAGGCTGCTGGAAGAGGCCCTGGTATCTCTGCCGATCTTCCACATGTTTTTCTCTCATCCTCTCCCCCAACAGCCTCAGCTCTTTCTTCACAGCCGCTCCCAGTGACGGGTCCAGTTGAGCCACCCTCAGGAAGTCTTCTCGTGCCTCCTTCTCGTTCCAGACAGCAGCATGGGCCTTTGCGCGCTTGAAGTAAGCCTTCACGTTCTCTGTCAAGTGCAGAGAAGCGTGGGGTTATTTCCTTTCCTTTCTCGCCCTGCTCGGCCATCACGCACCCCTGTCCTGCCTGCAGAAGAGGGCCTCTGAGCTCCTTTCCCTGGAGCCTCCTGCTGCAGGTGCTGAGTATCCCAAAGGGGCTGCACCAGAACAAAGATCTAGGCTCCGCTCACTCCTATGGCAATCGCAGCAGGGCGTTGTAGCACTACACTGCTCTACAGCTTGGCTCCCATTTAATTCACTGCCATGCAGCAGGATTCCACTGTAGGAACTGCCAGAGCACCCATCTAGTCCTGTATCAGTGTCTGGCCAGTACAGCTGCTTCCCAGGAAGGTGCAAGCAAGCTCAGAGGGGACAAGTAAAGCATAGCTTGCCCACCTGGGACGTTTCTTAGTAGCCTCTGTCAACCACCAGTTTGCTCATGGCCTGAAGCGTGAAGGTTTCTTATCCTAACTTGAGATGTTCTCATCATCCAAGCCTGGCTTCTGTAATCTTACTAAGCTCTGGGCCTGCGGATCTAGTGGCAGTGAGTGCCACAGGCTGTTACACCTGGTGTGACAATATTCCCTTTCCAGGACAGAGTTCTCACAAGGGGAAAGCAGCAGATGAGAGATAGGAAAACACCCAGTGACCAACCCAACCTCTCAGCCAGAGTGAAGGCTACCAGCTGTTCCTGAATCTGCCACTCTGCACTAGCATGTCAGCTTCCATCACTGACTCAACCTTCTATGGATCTAGTTCAAGCTGTGCTCCGGCTGGGTTTGAATTCCATGGAAGGCAATACTCCTCCAGCCAGGAGGCCCGCCCCTGAAATGCCTTCTCTACACGAATGTAAGTGCTGGAGGAAGGGAGCAGCTGAAAACCTCCCAGGGGATCGGTAGCAGAGAGGAAGCCCCTGCGTGACAGGAGCGCTGGATGCAGAGTCCCATGAGAACAAGAGCCCCTCTCTGGGAGCCTAGTGGAAGGTTGGGACAGGCTGGCGAGGCGATTACCATTGTTCTTCTGGAGGAGGTCGGTGGTGTGCTCTAAGACCTCATAGTATTCCCCCAGCTCCAGCTGGCACTGGCAGTAATTCAGCACAAGGGGCGTGATGAGTTTCTCCAGGCTCAGCCAGTCTTCAGCCCAGGGCTTCTCCTGTTCACAAAACCAGCAATGTGCAGCGTGAAGACACCAGACCCCTCTGGCTGGGCAGAGAGCTCTCAAAGGGACAGAGCGCCCGTAGCCAGGAACAATACATAGTGCATCCCGCGGGGGCTTTGCAGGCAAACTGGGGTAAATGGAGGACAGTAGCTACTGTTGAAGTAAAACAGCCAGCATGGAGCGTGCTTGCTGGGAGCATCCCAGTGCATGCACGACCTTCAGCCATCTGGCTGAGTATGCCGTTCCAAGAACCGCTGTCGGAGCTTTCTGGCTCCCCTCCTTGCTGGAGGCCACAGGTCAGAAGTGGCTGTTTGCAGCAAGCCCTGCCTGGCCTTTCCCAGTGACTTGTTTTGATTTAGTTTGCAGGACTTTGTACCCTGAAAACATCACTGCGAAGGCCTAGGAGTGCAGGTTCTCCCAGCCACATGGAGCCACGGTGTGAGCAAAGCGACCGGCAGACAGGGCTGTTATTGTCTTAGGAATCGTATTGGCTGCCGAGGACCTCCCGAAGCTCTATAGCTGGTGGGGGGGGGGGGGGGGGGCAGTGCAGCCAGCTCACTGCTGCATGTTGCAGGCAGGGCATGTGCAGACGGTAGGGGCTGTGCAGAGGAGGGAAGCGGTGCTAGGCATGACGTACGAATGCTGTGGAGCTGGGCACAAGAAGCCAGAGCAGGAGGTGGCTGTCCCTGCTCCAGCTGAGCTCTGACCCATCACCCTGGGCGGCAGTGCTACGCCAGCCCACCCCTCCCCATTTGCAGCATCCAGCGGGGTGGCTCTCACCTTGGCCTGGACGTTCCGCAGGCAGATGACTGCTTCCTGATACTTCGCTGCTGCTTCCTGGTACCTCTTGAGCAGGACCAGCCGGTTGCCCTCGCTGTGCAATACGGGCACTGCCGACAGTTTCTCCTCTTTGTTCATGGCCCATGTGTCCCGCTTATAGGATGAGGGGTCGTCCACCTGGGGTGTGTGTGTGTGTGGGGGGGGAAACAGACCTTCACACTACTGGCCCCATATGCTCCTCACACCATGCCCAGGAGAGCTGGGCCCAGGGCTCCCCCTGCCCCAGAGGGGCTACCAGCCCAGGCTGTGCCACGCTGAGCATCGCGTGGTCTGTCCCGACTTTGCTCTCCCTCACCCCAATTGCCTTTCCTCCCCTGGCCCGGGCCTTACTTTGAAAAGCTCCATGATGAAGATGAGAGGCTGGGGGGCCCTCTGTAGCTCATCCAGGTCCACATAACCCGTGCTGTGGTAGTCGAACATGTTCCCCATCCCACAGCGGTGCTTCTGCCCCTCCAAGGGGTCCTTGCCCTCCGCAATCCTCCTCATGCCCTTGGAGACCAGTGCGTACATGCCTGTGTGCTGAAACATTGGGGGGGGAGGGGGGAAGGCACCTTGGCTCAAGCACATGTACAAAACATTCCCCCTAGCCCGGGGGCCATTGAGAGCAGGTGGGGTGAGATGGTGATGGGAGGCACCTGCTCTCAGCAGGGGGAAAGTGGAGTTAAACCCCCCGGCTTAAGGGCTGGGGCCTGGAATCTGGGTCAGGTATTCAGACAGCAGGCCAGGAATACTGTAAAAGCAGCTACCTGCCACAGCAGAAATAAATGGCTCCTCTCCCTCGAGGGCTGAACTGCAGCCTGAGCTGGGGCTTTTCAGTCTGTCCTAGAGTTAGAACCTGCACCCACCAAATCTCAGGAATAAAAGGACTTGGTGAGAGAAGACATGCAGCCCAGTGCTCCAGCTCCCAGTTACATGCTGCAGGGTGCACGGAACCATGCATAAGACAGGTACAGATGTGTATGCCAGTGCGATCCTGCCCAGAATGTATCTGTGGGCTGTGCACACGTGTAAGTGTTCATACCGGTGTGTTTTGGTGTCAACGTGTTGATCATGCACAATGTGTGTGTGTGTGTATATCAGTGTCTGAAATCTAGGTGTTCCCAGCCATGGGGGTTGTCACTCACAATAGCGTCACACCAGAACTCTGCCACTTCTCCGATCCTCATGGAGGTTAGCAAGGTCTCCCACACCTCGATTTTGAACAGTTTCCCCACGATGATCTCCATGGGGATGCCAGCCTGTCGGCTGTCGTCTATCACCGTGCGCTCAAAGTCGTCTTTTAGCGTCTGAAAGTGGAATGTGAGCTGCACCAAAGAGAAACCAGTGCAGAGTGGGTCAGCTGCAGGCATGACAGTCTGGGATCAGGTCACTGAAGTAGTAAGTAGCCTTCTCTCCCTCCCCTCTCCACCCTGAAACTTGGCTCAATCCCACCCTTGGGTCACTGAGAAGGGATGACCATGACCCCAGCTTAGTGTTAGTTCACTCAGCTGTTCTCATGGGGTGAAGGGATAGGCTTTGAGGCACTCCACCATCTGCTATTTATTCATATTATATACAGTTGCTCTCTGCCAATACCTCTTTTTAACCCAACTCGGGGCTCCAGTAGAGTGAACTTCCTCACAGCAGTGCCTTGCAAATATAGCATGCACACTTCATAGCAGGGGTTACTGCAAGCTAACCACAAAGAAAAACATTAGGTCCCACTGCTAGAGGCTTAGAATGTGGCTATCTCTACACAAACAAGGGGCACCCGGTCACTCCCATTATCTGCTCCCTACATGCATCCCTTAGCTTTGTTCCTTCTGTTTGCTGTGCTAATGTGGCTCCAGGAGCCTGAGCTGGATTACAGCATACAAAGCTGTCAACTGGATTCCAGTGGCAGAACCTATTAGTGCAGTTGATGAAGGAGGCAGACAGAGCACAGCTGGAATCTCAATGCCTGCAGTTAGAAAAACCTGCTGCCTGGTAAACTCAGCTAATTTGATCTGGACTCAATGAGAGAAGAAATCAGCTGTTTTTATTTTTAGAGTCACTTCTGACTACAAGTGCTTTTAAAGGAGACACACGTGCAGAGGATTTCAGTAATAAGGGCTCTGGGTCACCATCTATAGCCCGAGAGCCTGGGAGACAGCTGCTGGGGAACCCAATACAGGCTGTCATTCAAGGGTATGAGATAACATCTGACCTGCTCTATCCCTCCTTAGCCAGTTTGAGATGCTTGCTGAGAGTAGTTACCTTGCTCCCATCTTTGAATTGCGGCAGCTCCCCTCGGCCTCCATGTAAAATCTTTTTCTTGACTCCTTCCACATTAAGCAGGTACATTTCATCCATGTTGAAGCTGTTGGCAGATCTCCCTCCTCACCTCTTTGGTTGCTGGTCACACCCACTGTTGTTCTCGCTCTTCCTGGAGCTGAGTGTTTCTTCGATTCCGGTCTGTTGGGATGAGTTTTCTTCCTCCTGTGGCTCATCTAACAGTCTTTAGCTACTGCATATCTGGCTTAAGGCTGCCCACCCTGCATGAGGCTGTGACTGCACTGCACCCTAAAGCCTTTTCTCCCTGGACTTCCCCTAGGTGGAGTTCGCCCGTTCAGGAGCAGAGAGAACTGTGCTGTACAGTAACCACCTTAAGGAGCCAGAGTGGCCCTGTTATCTGTTATACTTTCTTACCCCTCTGTCTTCGCCTTACTCTTTCCTCCCCTGTGGTAAGGAAGAACCTCCCACCCAACACCCCGTGATGCATTCTGACAACTGCTGACTGGACTGCCTTTCCAATCCCCTGCCAGGTTAATCTAGGATTGGCCTCCCTAATCTATCTGGGATTAGAGAAAGCTCCCTACTCACAAGGGCTCTACCCAGTGGGCGGGGGGGGAACGCCCCCACACTGACAGCACAATAGCAGCTTCCCAGTTGTCCCTTGGGAGGGTCCCATTTGTATCTAGCTCGCTCGCTGAGTGAGAAGGCAAAGCTGCTGCAGCACCCCACCACTTTTACATCTACAAGCACCAGGGAGCTCTGCTGCCATCAGTCTCCAGCTGGCAAAGGGACAGTGCCAGTCACAGCACAACTCTGAGGAAATGAGCACTACAGGACAGAGCAGGGTTGGAAACACATACACTTTATTCATTCCAGTTTTGTTCATGCAGATGTTCCCCAAGCATGGGCACAAACTCCCAACACTGCAGACCCATCAGAAAGTCTGTTAAGGAAGCACATGCCCCGCTCAGGGAATGCTGCTTTGCAGGCTCAGATGATAGCAACAACCAGGTGATGCACTGACCTGGCTCTGCTCCTCCAGGCCTGCGCAGTGCATGGGGGGTTAATTCCTGCCCTTTGCTCAGCACAGCTTTCTGGCACCATGAGCTAAGGTGACCCAGAGCAACAGTGCTGTGGATTAGCCTGTCGGGAAGCAAAGTGCCTTTGAAGGAGCGTTCTAAGGTATGAATGATTTCCACTGAGAGAAAGATGGGTCAAACTAGTCAAGGAACGATCTCCCCCAGCAGTGCAGCTAAACCACTAGCCATGTGTTTCTGCTGCTCTCAGAGAACCAACTGCAGGTTAGTGCCTTTCTTTCTTCAAAGGTTAATGGTTTGGGCTGCACTGTCCAGCACAAGGAATATCAGCCAGCAGCTCTAGAAACAGTGTCCAGGAGAATACAGAGTGCCAACATTAACAGGAGTAGGCTTATCAGCAGTGAGGTCATGCCAGTAACGTCAGGTCTTCAACACAGAGGATGGCTCCAGAACCCGTGGGTGAAGCGTCCATCTCAGCACTATGCCTGCTTGGAGGGTATAGCTCCCACCCTGATCAAAAGCCCTCCTCACTTCTCCATAAGGGATTCCAGTTGTTCTTGCAGAGAGGTGAGCTGTGGAGAGAAGGTTGGAAGGGGAAGGAGTGAAGCATTAGAGATATTTTATGTTTAAAACTTCTTAGATCTCTCTCTCATACCAAAGGGGTAATAATACTCTTCTTTCTTTTCAAAGGGATCCCCAAAACTTTTTACAAACTATAGGTCTCTATGAACACACCTACATGTAACTGCCTGAACAGAAATACCCATGCCTAAATGAGGTGCAGAATGAGCATGAGTCTTATTCTGCCCCTAAATGGCATGTTAAATAACCAGTTACATGCACAAACATCTGATTTGATTACACAACTGGAGTAGCTGTGTGCACATATTCGGAGCATGTTTTTAAAAATCAGGCTCAGATGTAAAAACTGGTTTGTTCGCAACTGAAATGCAGCCACTTCTTGGGTGGAATGCTGCAGCTGTCTACAGCAAACAACATTACGCAAGCCAGTAAGTGCGGGGGGGGGGGAAACTGCAGTATTCAACTGAAACTGCAGGGAGAGATGTAAAGCAGCAGAATATAGTTACCCAGCTTGGTAATTTGCCAAGTGACCAGAGCTACCCCTACTCTTCAGAAAGCGCTACTGTATCTTTAATGGACACATGTGGTCAGGGTCTTCATTTTACATCTCACTCTAAATATGGCAAGCTCAGCCTCAGAGCACCCTCTGGAACAACGTCACTTGGCTAACTAATGTTCCGGAGAGAAGACTACACCTACTGTATCACCATTTCCAGCAGCTCCACTGGTTGTAGGCATTCTACCATGGGGGTACTGATCAGGTACAGCCCTGCTTAGCTTGTGGCAGCTGTTGATCACAGCCTGAGGTGGTGTGGTGCAGGGCTCAGAGGGCTTTATACAGTAAACTACTGAACAAGCGTGCAACGTGTTGCTTCCTAATGCTGAGAATCACTCAGCATCACCCCACAACACTGCACACTCATTGCTTTCTTCTACAGGAACATAGAGGAGACAGTAACAGAGGCTTCCTCACCTGCTGCTTCTCTCGGTCTTCCTGCTGTTTGAATTCATCCAGCACAGCCTGGAGACGGGTCTGGAAGAAAGACACAAGCAAGAACATAACTGCTGGTGCTTCTCAATAGTGGCCATTTATGTAAAGAGAACAAATCTGCAGTCGCAATTTGATAGGCAGCAAAGTAAAGGGAACATAGCATGGATTGCAGGACCCTTATCTTCTTCAGCACAGTTCCATGGTTTGCTCTGCATCAGTCTCAGGTCATCCATGGATGACTGGCTGGAATGTATTCGTATAGCCACTTTCATCTTAAATTCCACATGGCAAGGCCATGGGCTACTCTGGGACAATAGGGTTGGATGCCTGCTGGTTCCAAACCTTCACTGCATCAGCTGAGCTGAACAGGACCCCGTAAAGAATGCATGGTTTGGGCTAGAAGGAAAGGTACCAGATGGTGGACGGCACTCACCTTGAGGGCTAGATTCTCTACTTTCATGATGAGATCTTCCTGGCGCTTTCTCCGTTCCTGGGTCTCCTGGAGTTTACCCTTCAGGTTGTCAATCTGCTTTTGGATCCCCATGGCTAAGGGAGACAGCAGAAATGATCCACACCATAGTCTGAATTATAGCACTAGCACAGCAACTTGCCAATCCCCCCGGCACCAAGCCTTCCAGGGTACTGCCCATCCTCGGCACCAACCTACCACTGCCTAAGACTGCTCACCTATCTGGTTTGTTCCCTCGTTCTCCTGCTGCTGCCCATCAGATTCATTCAGTTTGTCCTGCAGTTGCCTCTCCAAGTCTTCTTCTGTGTCCATGATGTTCAAATCTTCATCGTCATGATGATCTCTCTCATCTTCATCTTCACTGCTGCTGCTGATGTCATTAAATATCTCCCGCAGTTCATCATGTTCTAGTGGTGTGAAACAAGGAGAAAAACATTGAGCTGATGAACTCCCATCAGATTCCAGTGTGTCCTCAACTCTCCCTGAAAGGCACTGCACATCCCTATGGCTGTCAGGCATAGTTTTTTGTATCCAGTGTCTATCTAAACACACCTATCGTCCTTAACCTTCCTTATGGGATCCAATAGACTACAAGTAGACTAATTCAAGACCCAGAAAATACTGATTTTCTCTCTTCTGCCATGTTCACTAGAATGGCAAATGCATATCTGCTTGACCAAACTATTATTGTCCTGTTCTCTCATACCAATGAACACAATCTCAGCATCCAATTCTGCTCATACGATAAAATACATCTCCCATGTGTAACTACCCCATAGAGACCAAAACCAGGTGACCCTGCCTTCTGGAAGCAAAATGATGTTACTAAAAGCATAAGCCTTCATCAATGTACCCGATGAGCCATGGCCCTGCTTGTGGCCAGACATCCCAGGAGAGGAGATGTCCAAGCCGGTGAGTGAACCATGGTTGTCTGCTTCCTTTGTTTCATCTTCAGCAATGACCTCCCAGCCTGAGAGCAGATACAGAAGAGTCAAGGAAAAACCAGAAGAATGACAGACGGTGGTACCAGCAAGAGCCCACTGACAGCAAGGTGCTAGAAGAGGTTCTCCAGCTAACAGTACCCCAGGGATGACTCCAGTCTCTCTTGGTATCCCTCTCTAATTCTGCACTGTGTTGGCAGGGTCACGCAAATGTGGCCAATCTGGCCCTGCAGGCCTATTTCTGTGAAGGGCTGTCTTCTGGAGATGATGCAACCAGTTACCCCAGCGTCAGGAGTAGCACAAGGAGGGCTGTGACGAATGCCAGAGAGAGGTCATTGAGGAGAAGCAGCAGGTTTTGAACAGGGTAAAGCTCAAGCTATAATTTCAGTGTCTGTTACATGCTCATGTCCTGCCTGCTGCTACCCATGTGTATTGTGAGATCAACTTAACTTCTCTCTCCTCTGAGCCTTCCTCAGCCACTCTCCTGCTCTGCAGAGTTAATCGAAGAAAGGATACGGACACTGACAGCTTCAGCATCTGTACTCAGCAGACGCTTCACCTCCTTTTCCACGTCTGGAGACTCAATGTACTGGGCCAGAGAGGGGAAAGAGAGAAGAGACGGTGTTAAACACCCTTGGACAGACAGTTCTCCAATTCAGAAGTATCTTGGCTGTTGGCTGCCTCCCACACCTCACCCCATCCCAGCCCCTTATTTTAAGGCTCTTTTATTTTACTCTATTCTTTTAGACTTTGAGCTCACCCATATCCCACCGGAAGACTCTCCCTTGCCACTACCTGCCTTTCAAGACAGTGTTCCATCTTCCTCCTCTTTGCCTCAAAGCTCCTGAGTGAGCTGAATCTTCTCACTATCCTGACTTCCGCTCCATTCTCACACTCCCAACACCACCTCTGAATAAAAGCTGGCCTGACTGTATGGCACATGAGAACTCCCCAAGGCTGAATTCATTTATGAATCCTCAGTGAAAGGCCTCCCAGGTTTGAAAGTCACCTGCTGAATCACAACAAGGTTTCACTTTTTATGATTATTAAATTTGTTGGGAATGCCGGCTAAGTGTTGCTGCACTTCTCCTAGGGGAAAGTCTCAGTGCTTCCAGGGTCTGGTTTCCCTAACGTTACATTGAAATATTGCTCCATTGTGTGAAAGTGAAGTGCAAAGCAGAGAGGAATTAATTCTCCCAGCCTGTCCCACAATAGGCAGCCACTTAGTATAGCTTCATTTCTCCTCCAGAGTGCTTTATTACTGGGGGCTTCTGCACAAAGACAGGATTGGAAGGGTTCTTCTGCTCCCACTTCCCTTCTGAAGTCATTCTGGGTGCTACATCGTAGCTGGTTGCTGTAGAAATGATTGGGCCCCACACAGAGGACTGGGATTTCAGGTGGGGAAAGAAGAGGAGCAGATAAACTCTCTTGTTTCTATGCAGATATTTCTAGTAATTCAGAAAGAAGAGACACACTGTATGCAAAATGGACACACAGAATCAATCCACTCCTGCACAGTGGGCTTTCCCCACTCCAGGGCATCTTTCAAAATTCAGCCAGGAGATTGCCAAGAAAATGTTAAAATGTCCTAGTTGCCTTCCCCTGTGCTCTGTCTGAGTGAGGTGTGAAGCAAAGTGAATAAAACCCATGTTATAAGAATTCATAGTGCAAAGACAGATTGTTACGCTCCTGACCCAGCTACGCACAGTACTAGTGTCTTCTTCTGTCCCCCACCTTTGGGCACCTCTGACACCATAGGTGCCACCATGGATGAGGAGATGCAACTCACCTTCTTCTTAGCTGTTTTCCTGAACCGCCTCTTCCTTACATTCTTCAGTGGAAGAGTAACTGGAACAAAGGAAACAGGCTGTGTGTCAGGCACGTGATCTCAGGGGAAAGTCACGTGCATGATAGATTCACGGCGTCTGAGTACAGGAAACTCCCACTCCAGGATGTGAGAGATCCAGCAGCACTTTGGTGGGCTGAGGGCAAGGTTCTCAACTACACAGCTGAGTGAGGCGCCCTGGCAGACTACCCCTGCATTGTCTAGGGTGGAGGGGAAGGACGGGGGGGGGGGGGGGAGATGAGCAGTGGGAGCTGTGGGTCACGCCAGAGTAAGATAGGTAAAGCACCCTGTATTCTACTCACTGCCATGGTTCCAGATGAATTTCTTCTCTCTGTCCTTGTCCTTTTTCTTGTTTGCCTTGGGGTCAGTACTCACAGTTGGCTCTTCCAGAGGGGGGTAGAGATCACCGTCCACAGTACACACGAGCATCTGAAGCCCCAGAACACAAAGGAGCTGATTATAATGTGAGAGCAGAGCTACTCAATTAAATTAAAGGCTGGTACATTTACAACATATACAAGGAAATGCTACTCCCTGCAGCATGTAGTCAGCCTCTGGGATTCACTGGCATAGCTGACAAAATCACCTTTTGTGGATGGATCAGTTTACGACCAACCTTCTCTTAAGTTAGAAGGGAGCAGAAGTCAGGAAAGAAATTGCCAACTGCTATGCTGCGATGGGAAATTTTACACCACAGCTGCTCCACTCACATTCTGAGGATGTGGAAATTAGCAGTGGGGTACCATATGTTGCACTGCCATAATATAAAGGGTCAGACTTTTGTCTGAAGGAAGCAAGCACAGGACACCAGAGTGAATAGAATAGGCAGCCCATACCTGACAAATATCCGCTGTCTTATAGAATGTTTTCTTATCTATGGTTTTTAAGCTCTCGGTGATGCAGGGCAGGTCCACCAGCTTGGCAGCTAAGGGGACGCGATCTACACGGACAATCCCATGACGCCCATCCGCTGCAGAAAACCAAGAGACAAATTAATGCAGTGGCCAGCCCAGTAAATGGCTAACCCGTATGCTGCATTCCTGGGCCAAACACTTTAAAACTCCTGAGTGAACTGGAGGTGCACAGAACTGTCTGGCATTTTCCTGTGAAATCTGTGATGCTCTTAGCAGCAAGATAACTACAGATAGACTCACAGAAAATACCTTTGAAGGAGAGGAAGGAACAGTGGGGTATGCTCTACAGCTATGGCTATTCTAACAGCTAGAGGCAGAGCTTTCTTGCCTTTGAGTCCTCCAGGGCAGGACTGGGAATTTGCTGATGGAGTTGAGCTAGAAAGAAAATTCTTGGGATTTTCTCCAGGGCCAATGACTTATACCCGTGTTAGTAAGATGGCTCTACCCATGTGATTAGTGCATTGCACGAATCAATAGTATTTTACCTTCAGAACTACAAATATTCACATCACAATCTCTGGCAAACAGTGAGATGCCCATTTTGTGAGGTGCAGAGAAAAGTGACAGACAGCTCGGGCCAATCACATTAAAAAGGAGCTGTTCTATGCATACCCTCTTTATTGAGGTTGTTGGCCAAGCAGGTTCTCACAAGATGTGAAGCTTGTCCAGTTGGGGTGTGTGCAGCTTTCATCTACTTCACTAAGATGAACTTCTCCTCTGGGTCTCCCAATGGGAAACCAGTTCTTGGTTTGATGCCGGGCACATTTCCACCAGTGCACCCTTCTCAGCAAGTCTGCATGATCCCCAGAGAAGCCCTGATGTCTCTTCCCACTCTGGGCTCTGCAAATCAAGTCACACTCTTTCAAAGCCTACAGTACTCGCTCCTGAGCTGAGAGATTAAAGGCAGCTGATCTTGGCTACTCACGGTGTAATTCGATAGTAAGTCTATCCTTCAGGTTGACGCTTCCAGATTGTACTGCCCTCCGCACAGTGGAGGCATATTCCTGAGAAAAAGCAGATGAATGAGATAGGACTAGACTTGTGTGCGTTAGCTGATAGAACAGCTAAAGAGATAATCTGCTTTCAAACCCAATTTTAATCCATACGTTCATCTAAACACAGAAACTCAACTGAAAAGCACCATTAAACACAGGAAGAGCAGAGCACTTTTCCTAGAAATGTGCATTAACCTCGTGGCTCTGCTATTCCCAACGTACTTCACAGCCAGCAACCTAACGTAATTTGGGAAAGATTCTATCGCTGGTTTAACGTCCCTTAGAAAACAGAAGCTACCCCATGTTTTTATGAACTGTACATGTCTATTTTATTTATAGGGCAGCTGAGTGACAGACCCGTTCAGCAGAACTCAGATGCCCACTCTTTCAACTCCTCTACAATGCCCTTGTGGATAACCAGAGGGGCTCCATCAGGGTCAAGGGGAGATGCCTCATCAGTGTGTTATTTGAAGAAGCTTCTTCCCAGATTAAGCATTTATTGAATGAGATTAACTGCACCAAGAGTGAATGAAAGAACTGATCACTGGCAATGAGGACCAACTGAACTATCACTTCTAAATACTTTGCCTTGATCTGTTTCACAACACCATAGTTTCTCCAAGCAGCAGTGCACCCGGATGCATCTCACAGGCATAGACATGAACAGGAATGGGTAGAAGGCTGGTTTACGAGGTGTCATTTAAGGGAGCTACATTACAAACAGGCAGGGGTTCAGTACAAATAGCCAATCTGTCTTGATATCTCAAACAGGGTCTGTAGAATTCCTATTGCTTTCACCCATCTCTTTAAACCCTCTCTACCTTGAGTTGCTGCTTTGCACCTTCCAAACTGGGGCTGGACTGGATGGGTGCCTTGGGAACTTGGTGATTTTTGCAGTGATGGTAGCCTTGTGTGGGAATGTTCCTCCCACTTTGTCCTCTTTAGACTGGCCCAGATCTAAGGGTCTCTTACCGGAGGCAGCCGCAGAATAAACTGGCTTTCCAGCTCATGGGGAGCGTCGTCCTTGTTCTTACTCATCTTTAGTTCTTGAAGTCAGAAAACAAGATAAAACACAACGTCACCAAGATGTTTGTTCAGTCTGTTTTGACCTCCGACAGTTGATGGCTACTCAGCATTTATAAATAAAGTGGATATTCTCCCTGTTATATTACTAGGAACTGTATGTGCCGGCTGCTGAGATACAGACACCGATGGGATAGACACTTAACTCAGAAACTCCTTAATTGACAAAGCTAAAGAATTTCTGCTGCTGGTCCCCAGTGTTTACATTCTGTCACCAAGTTTCTGTAGGATCTCCCTTATATGAATCAAAAGAAAGTACAAAATATTCCTGATCACAAGGATGCATTTGGGACGCGATATAAGAGTTTATGCCTACACACACACACAGCATAGAAGAGCTTAAATGAGAGACAAGAGCTGAAAAGAGAAAGAGCAGTTTCTGTGACTACATGGGATTCATTTCTGAAGTCATTTAGGGTAGGATTTTCTAAAACCCTCAGTGTTGACCTAACTGCTCCTATTGACAGCAGTGGTACAGCTCTCAGTTACTTCAATAGGAACAGAGTTAGGCCAACACTTAGAATTTAAGGGTGGGATGCTAAAAAGTGCTATCAAATAAGGTTCTGCTTCTAAAACTTACATGATCAATATTCTTTTTCACGAGAGCAACTTTAATATAACATTACAAAGGGAGAGAGAGTGGGTGTCTCTATCAGTTATGTATCTGATGTTACAATTACATGTGAACAGAAGAATACATTAGAGGTGAAATCATGCATTGCCTGAAGTATCTGATATACTAGTCTAATAGTTCTGCACTGCTAGGGGAGAAACTCAGAGTACTATTTCCTGTCCTACTGTCTTGCTCCTAGAATGGTGGTGCTTAGAGTGCTCAGCTACATACAGCACAAGCCTCCTGTAACAATATTCAACCGCAAGTGCTCCATTGACATGAAGGGCATCCTGCCCACTTCTCCTTGCTAAAAGATGCTATTATAACACTAAAACAATAACGTCATCTTCAGGTCTCAATAAGAGACAATGGAGGCCTTGTAGGGAGAAAGACATGCTTTTGATTCTGCTCCATTAAGTTTATCACATGCACTAAAGATACATTTTCATTATACTCAGAACTTCTCTGAAAGGAGGATATTCCAGGTGTATAACTCTCAAGCAGAAGTCCAGGAAGAGGCACCTGAGGGAGGCAGCATTCTGTGCTTGTGAATCTAACACAGAAGCACAGGAATCCTGCACTCCACATTAGAAACTGTGTGTTTAAATATCAGGAGTCCTTGACAATGGGAATATCTCCTTGAGGAAGCACCAATGGTGGATCCATAGCTAAGGGCTTGTCTACACTTACTGGGGTTCGACAGGTGGCGATCAATGCATCGGTGGTTGATTTAGCGGGTCTAGTGAAGACCCGCTAAATCGACCGCCAATTGCTCTCCTGTCAACTCCTGTACTCCACCTGAATGAGAAGCGCAAGGGGAGTCGACGGAAGAGCGTCTCCAGGCGACATCGCATAGTGCGGACCCCACGGGAAGTAGATCTAAGTATGTCAACTTCAGCTACGTTATTCACATAGCTGAAGTTGGATAATTTAGATCAATCTCCCCCCGTAGTGTAGACAAGGCCTATGGCTGCATCAGGATTTTCCTTGGGGGCCTTAGAAGTCATATATACATGGAGTGTATGTACTTTGTTCTACAGATTCGATTTCAGCCCCAACAGCTTGCTATTCTCCTTTGGATACTTTCAAAGAGTTAGAGGGAACACAGTGAACTTATGACTTTGAAGTATCCTTTTTCTGTAGAGAGGAAGCAGAGACAGAGAGACCCAGCACCAGAGAGACATAAGCAAACAAATTCATTACTTGTAGATGTCATCTTGCCTCTTCTTGCTTCACACAAATGTTTATAAACATCTGTATCATTCAAAAGCCAAATACAAATGCCCAAAGGAAAAAAAAGAAAAGAAAATCAGTTTTTTAAAAATAAATGAAATAAAAAGTGATGGGGTAGACTAAAACAGGACAAAATAAACTTAAAAATCGCACTTCTGCGTGAGAAGCGATTACCTGCTATTGACACAAGTAACAACCCCGGCTATTGCAAGAGCCGAAAGGGGAAATACCAGTCCCCCCACCCCTATTTCAGTAGCCCTGACAGGGCTAACGAGGCCCGGATCCTGCAAGCCTGTGGGCGGACCCCTCTGCCCACCCCCCCATGTAAGGCAGCGGCCGGGCCCGGGCCGTTCACACGGCGAGCGGGGACCAGACACAGGCTGTAAAGAAGAAGCGCGGTAACTGGGGGCGGATCTGACATCTCCCGTGGCGCGTCCCCGGGCTCAGGGTGGGGCGAGCGGCTGGGTCCCAGGACACGAGCTCGGCGGTGTCCTTGTTCCGGCACCGGGGCGGCCAGAGCAACTGCCCGGCAGGCGAAGCGATGGGCACGGCAGGGGCGGGGGCACTGGGCTGAGACGGTCCCGGGACCCGCCCGCCAGCGCGCGCAGCGGGATCTCGCTACCCCGGGGGGCCTAGGCCGGGCCTACGCTCCCCGTTCCCCGCTACTCACCAGGCCCCAAGCGAGGGCCCCTAGCAACCGGGGCGGAAGGCAAGAGTGACGCGCTCCCCGCTAGGCGTCTCGTTCCCCGCGCTGGTTCCGGAGGAAGGGTTTGGCTGACGTACCGGAAGCGGAAGTGAAGAGCGAGGTGCTGGTTCCGGAGGAAGGGTTTGGCTGACGCTGCGGAAGCGGTGTCGGGAGCTGCACTAGGTTCCGGCGGGGAAGGGGCAGGGCAGGGCAGGGCTCGGGCTCTGTGCTTGCTGTCCCGCGTCGCGGTACTGTGGGCAGGTGGTGCCTCCCTGCGCTGACAGGGCCCGGGGCGCACCGGGCACTCGGGCTCCTGGGTTCCCGCGGTGAGGGGCGAGGCCCGCTTGGCGGACGGGGCTGTCAGCAGCGTATGACACGCAGCGCTGCCTGCGCTCCCCTCGCCCCGGGGACAGTGCCCAGCACGCGGAGATTGGTGCTCGCCGGGCGGGGTACGGCACTCGCTCCGGAAACAGGAGCCTGGTTCCCAGCGAGGAGCGGAGAGCGGCACTTGGGGGTCGGTTGCAGTTGGGCTCTAAGGGTTTCAGCCCGCGAGTGGGACAAGCGGGAACTGCAGAATCCGCTCCAGGCACCTGTGCACCCTGAGGGGTCTTAGGTCGTGCCCAGGTTTATGATTATTACTGAGACACTGCAGGTACACTGTCTTCTCAGGAGCAAAGTCCCCCCCCCATGTAGATGTCCATTAGGATAGAGGTTCTCAAATTTCTTTTAAAAATATTTCAGACTGTGATGACACTTACACACACACACACACACCCCGCTACTGGACATAGCATTTGTGGCACCAGTTCACATGCCTACAGAGCTAAGTAACCATACCATGCCATCCTTACTTTTGCACTGCTGCTGGTGGCGGTGCTGCCTTCAGAGCTGGGCACCTGGCCAGCAGCCATCATTCTATGGCTGCCCAGCTCTGAAAGCAAGGAAAAAGATGATCTTGCAACCCCCCCTACAATAGCCTTGCCCTACCCCGTTTTGGGTTGGGACCCCCAGTTTGAGAAATGCTGCATTAGAAAATGGAAATGTCAATGGCCCTAGCACTTGAAGGTGTAGAGATCAGTAAGAGCTCCCCACAAGCTGCCTTACAAAGTGTTTATTTCATGTACAGCAATCTTTCATGTTCCAGGAGAACACCCTGCAACTAGGACTTTCCTTAGATTTGTGTGGTGGACATGTCCAACCCTCTTCTCTCTGTGAATCTCAGTGTTCTTCCTTCCTTATGCAGGGGGCTGTGATGGAGGGCGTGTCATGTCGCTACGACTTCTACATCGGACTAGGCCTGGCTCTATCCTCAAGTATTTTCATTGGAGGAAGTTTTATACTAAAGAAGAAAGGGCTTCTCAAGTTGGCCAGCAGGGGCTCCATTAGGGCAGGTACCTTCCATCTTTATTGCTGCAGTTGGTTGTACAGTTATGTTCCCACCACAGGCAATGTTCTTATTGTCCGAGTAGAACAATAAGAGAGTTTTCAGGGGCTCGCTACACATTTGGAAAGATTGAACTTCAAAAAGCTCTAATTGCTATTCAGCTAGATGATGTGAAAACATTTCTGGCTTTAATACAGCTCTTAGTCACTTTAAGATCAGCCAGAAGGGACACATTATTTTCTTGATCTTGGAGCTGTTAATACAGTCGAAATACCAGACTGCTGTAGTGTGTCTTGTAACCAGGTGCAGTCTAATATTGCACAGTATTGTGAGCAGAGAGCTGGAGAAGTGCAGCATTCAAAATCTGTAGAGGGCTGGGACAAATGACAAGAATTTAAATGAATAGGGAAAAGAAATAGAAATACCTAATCTGGACAGAGGAATGGGATGTGCCATGGGAATATTTCAGCTCCAAGTCTGGCCTAGATCAGTAATCCAAAAACATTACTATCTGACAACTGCTTAATGGTGTACTATATCATGTGAGTTTGGTCTCAGTCCAGTTCTTAGTAGGCAAGTATTTGCTTCATAAAAACACTTACTTCAGCTGCTACCCTTGATGGTATCTTCACCAGAGATGGAATAAAGACCAGACTATCTCCTTGTGTTGTAGATGTGATCCTGGCATGGTTGGGCACATAGCTGAGGCAGAGTGGAAGAAGCATGTGCTGCCACTGCCCATGCTGTACTTATTCTTGAGGATAAATTGGACTTCTGTCCCCAGGGATGGCTACCCAGCAGTCTTCACCAGCATCAAGCTTTTTTTTTTTTAAAGGTGCTAATATCATCTGGAAATTGGCTCATTTACAGAGGAGGAGGAGTTCTGGAGGATTAGCCCACCCCTCAGAGGAAAATTCATTCCTTTCTTTATAGGTAAAAGAGATCCTGAGTTATTTGTATAGCTTGTG